ACAAGGACCTTGTCACCCTCGTGCTTCAGGCTGATGTATGCTTGTGGGGAATGAAGCCAGCCGTATTTCTCTTCGGTTAATTGCATGGCACGGTCGAAGTCGTTCAGGAACTTGTAGCGAAGGAGGTGGTCTTCCGTTAGGTTCAGTTGGCGACGTGCGTACCAGAATGAGTTGTTATTACCGGCACGAGGGAAGTCGAGCCATTCGGGATGACCGAATTCGTTACCTTCGAAGTTGAGATAACCCTCACCACCGAGTCCATGTGTAACTAGGCGGAGCATCTTGTGTAGAGCCATGCCTCTTTCAATAATGGGGGTGAACTTTGTCAACACGGACATGTGGGTGTACATCTCCTTGTCACAAAGCCACATCATGATGGTTTTGTCGCCAACAAGCCTGTCCGGATTCAGCTGTGGTCAAATAAATCAAGTTGAATAGATGGACTTACGCCTGATCATGACTCTCCGCGTAGGCGATCGTCTTCTCCCCGTGACGTCGGTTGACCAACGTGAAAGAGAGGTTGCCAATGTCCCATTCATCGTCCGACTTCTCCTTCAAGAGCTTGATGTACATGTCTGGAATTGCCATGGCAAGTCGGTAGTCAAATCCAACACCCCCAAGGGCGTGCGGCAAGCACAGTGCTGGCATTCCAGATACATCTTCTGCCACAGTTATACAGTCGGGATATAGACTGTGGAGCATTTCGTTGGCCAAGGTCAGGTACATCACACCCTCGCCATCTACCGAACCACCAAAGTACTCGTGATATCCGCCAGAAAAGCCACTATTGCGAAGTTAGTGTTGTAATGAAGAGATACAGGAGCCTGATCACGTACGTTCCTATCCCGTGATGGGTATAAAGCATACTTGTAACACCATCGAAACGGAAACCGTCAAACTTATATTCTTCCATCCAGAAGCGGAGATTGCTCAGGAGGAACCTCAGGACTTCATGGCTTCCGTAGTTGAACAGACGACTGTCCCAGAGTTCATGCTGACCCTTTCCCCCGGAGTGAAAGTAGAGATGGTCAGAGCCATCGAACATGTTCAGCCCGTCTAGGACATTTTTGGACGCATGACTGTGGACGACGTCAAGAAGCACCACCAAGCCCATGCTATGTGCTGTATCTACTAGCTCTTTCAGGTCTTCCGGCGTACCATAGCGACTGCTGGCCGCGAAGAAGCTATTGACCTGGTACCCGAAGCTGGCGTAGTAGGCATGCTCCATAATGGCCATAAGTTGGATTGCGTTGTACCCCAGATACTTGATGCGAGGTAGCATATTTGCAGTGAATTCTTTGTAAGTTGCGACTCTCGTTTCCGGAGAAGAAATACCCACGTGGGCCTCATAGATACGAAGGCTTTCGGGCCTCTTCGGGCGAGAATGTTTGAATTGATACCGCTCGGTTGCTGGAGGGTTCCAGAAGACCGACTCGTATGTCGGAGACACAGTAAGGTCTTGCACGACACGCTTGATCCATGCAGGGATTCGGTAGATTCGTTCTCCTTCGGGAGTGACCATAGTTATCTGCGAAGCGCAGCGATGTTAAAAACAAAACGCCCTGCCTATTTGACTCTAAACTCACTCACCTTGATTTTGCTGTCATGAGGGATCACCGGGACCCCATCCTTTGCTGGCAATGTGATCTCCCAGACACCGAAGCTATTCTTCGTCATCGGGTGGGCCGTGACATCCCAATTGTCTACCAGTCTCAGTAATGTTTCACCGGCTGATATCCTCCGCATAGCTAGACGTACTAAAATCCCCAACTAGCTCAGCCTCGACAGCGTTGGGTGCCCATTCTCTGTAAGTGATGTCCCCATTGGCGTTGACATTGAGGCCGTATCTCTCGTAGCCCTATCGGAAACGCCATGTCAGTTGGTGCTGGCCATTCCAAGTAACCCAGTTGGATGGTGTCAATCATTTCGAACAATAGTAGAAGAAAGATATGACACTTACCCTGCTAAACTTGTCCAACCCGCCCTCAGTTTCATTAATCGTCTTGACCCAGCTCTCTACGAACTGGAATCTCTGCTTCAGAGCATCCCGGAAGGGCTCAAGCCAAGGATCAAGCTGGATGACGCCTATGGAAACAATTAGATGAAGATAAGACAACGATGACAATCAAAACCGCTCAAACCAAACCAACTGACCTGTACCATCTGGAGGCGCCGATTGAAGGGCAGTTTGAGTTTCGGTAGAAGCCATGGAGAATGGATCGCCAGTGGCAGGAGATTAAGCTCTGGAAAGGGTGGACCGTAGGGATAGGATGGATAATACACAAACAAGTGAGGAATCTAGTCAACAGCGTCAAAACAGGATGGACTCATGAGAAAAACAAACAGGACGAGGTGGGGAATCTCAACCGATGGGAAAAGGTAGGAGGAGGTGGTTGAGGCCATGCGGGGGAAAGTCGAGGCCAAAGCTCCTCTTTCTTCCCTGTTGGTTTGCTGGGTTGCTGCTGCTACCCTCCCGCCGTGACATCACTGCAACCCCTGCTTCTAGACCTGGTCTGCCCAGCCCCTCTCCCCTCTCCCCTTATCTTTTTCTAGTCGGTCGCTTGCATTTCTCAACTTTGAATAACGTCCAATTAATCGAGGTGAGATACTGGTCATACAGCTTATTTTTGCATACATCTTGTTTGGAATGGTGTGAGTATCCGAGTTTCATTCGGTCGTGATAACGCGACAGCAGGAAGCTGAGCTTTGACTTCAGGTACGGAAACAGGTACCCGCCCTGCGCAGCAACCTAGGGGCCCGAGTGGTCTGAGGACTTGTCGGATTCATCGAAAGGGCTTCGCAGTAGGTAGGGGACACATCATAATGCAGTGCGACAATGTGTTTACAATAAGGCTCAAAACAACAACTATTCGAGGAGAAAATTAAAAATCACTATGTTACACAAAGCTTGCGCAGCAGCTGGTGAGATTTGAGCTACATACCAAGCTACTATAGATTTCCCCCCTACAATTCACAGCTACCAGCATATTCCGGATTATAGCAGGTTCGACTTTACACGTAGCAGACACCCTGCTCGCCCTGTTCGCCCTGTTCGCCCTGCTCACCCTGCTCACCCTGCTGGCCCTTCTCGCCGAATCCAGAAGCTCCGGTGGGACCCTGGGGAGAGTTTCCAGCACCACTGGGGGCAGCAAAGCTGGGAGCGGAGGTGGTAGACCCCTCCTGGGCACCCACAGCGGGGCTGGGGGCAATGGCAGCAGCGCTGGATACCACGGCGGAAGTGGCGGCGGGGATGCTCTCGCTAGGGGCGACAGCGCTGGGCACAGAAGCAGCAACGGAAGCGCTGCTGCTATGGACAGTGGCATGGCTGGCAATGGAAGAAGCAGCGGCAGTAGAAGCGCTGTTGGCCATCAGAGCACTGTAGGGGGTGGCACCCGGGTAGAAAGAGGTAGGGATGGTCGGGATGGGGATAGAGACAGTAGAGCCGAAGTCAGTGGTCAGATCGGCGGCCATGGAGGTCGCAGAGTAGCCCGAGGGAGCGGAGCTGACCGTAGAAGTGGTGGCCGAGTAAGAGACGTGGTCGTCGCTGTCCTGAAGGCAGAATCCGCTGCCATAAGCACTCTCACAAGAGTACCACTGAGTATCACCCTCCTCGGTCCACATGGCGAAGTCCTCAATGGTAATGTCGTAGCAAGGGGCACCATCAGCACAGATCACCTTGACAGGACCACGCTCAGCACCGTAAGCTTCGGTTCCCTTCCAGTTCTTCACGGTGATGTTGCTCAGCTGGACACCATCGCCGTCCACCGCGCTCATACTGGCCCAGTAGCTGTCAATATCCAGAGAGTAAGCGTTGCCGTGTCCTGTTTACGAACAGAAAGAGTCCTTGGTTAGTCCCATCAAGACCAATGGGTTTGCATAAGGTATTACTCACCGATGAAGTTCTCGAGGAGAACATTCTCGATGAAGCCGCTACCTCCATTGCTCTTGATCAACATCATGTTGTTCGAGCTCCAGGTGTAGATGTTGCGGTAAGTGATGTCGCTGACATTGGTATCAGAGCCAAACGAGCCCATACCACATCCACCACTCCAGTTGCAGTAGATGCTCTCAATGAGGATGTTCTTCGATGGGCTCTATTATTGATTGTTAGCCTGATGCTTCCTGCTGGCGCACTCATCATGGTCATACCTTGACTGTGACACACTCGTCCTTGTTCGTCACCTCGACCTATCGGACCAATCAATAACCTGTATACAGGAAACATTCTGCTCTTCGGTACTCACATCATGGACCCAGATGTTGTTACTCCAGACATCAATACCATCCAGACCACCATGGTTACCGCCGCGGATTGCCATGTTGTAGATTTCGCCATTGGTGCAAGTGTCGAGAGAGAAGTGGAAAGATGGAGAGTCAACCAGGATGAAATCGTGGACCGAGAAGTCCGTCACTTCATAGAGTCGCAGCAGACGAGGGCCGCTCCAGTTATCATCGGCATGGAACTCGTAGCCCAGGCCCTGCATGGCACCTTCGGAGGTGCTACTGAAAAGTTCGAAGTCGCTAGAGTGTTCGATATAGATCATGTTGCCGCCGTCCGTGCCAGTACGGTAGATGATTCCATCGATCTGCAGAGCCCATGCCTCACCACCGCTCAACCTCGCCCATGTGGAGAGAGCATAGTCACCAGAGGGGACATAGACGAGACCGCCAGACTTGCAGTCAGCGAAGGCAGATGCCAACGGCGCGCCCAGATCAGTAGACTTATCCGCCTTAGCACCGTAGTCCAAAACGTTGCAAGTCTTGGTAGCTGCCTTGGTGGACGCGGAAGTCAGCGGTCCCACGGAACCGGAGAGCTGCGCAGCAGCAAAGATGGGCGCCAGGCCCAGGAAAGAGAGAACAGAGAGCTTGTCGAGAAGCATGATGCTTCGTCGAGCTTGAAGGAAAGAAAGGAATGTGGGGGTTTACAAAAAAAAAAAGAGTGAAAGGAAGTGAGTCTAAGCACCCCTAAAGAATGAACATTGAGATATCTAACGAATCATGCCCACGGCAGGGGTCCCCAGGCGCTCTCTTTATAGGGAAACGCTATTCAAGCGCTCCTCTGACAGTAGTCTATTTCCCGCTGTCATCTTTCTATTTCTAGAACGTTTTGCCGGTGCCATACCGGAAACCTCTGACACGACCAGAGTGAACTAGATGAAGCTATCGACACTATTGCTGGAACCCACAAAACAATTTGCCTGGATGAGGAAGTAGCGGCGCAATCCAAAACATCGAAAGAGCGGGATCGATGCGCTATCTCCCGGTTGAGACTTGCTCCATGCTTAGGGCGTTTGTCTTAGATAATTTGAATGGGGCATTAGCCCCGCCTATCGACTCAAGTAGATTGAAGGGCTCAAGGGGGCATATATATACTGGGCAGTTCACTCCTGATCAGACCATCAGGCAGGCCTTGAGAGAGTATAGTAAGCGGAAGATGCAAGAGTCCTTTTGATGAATCTAATTGATAGCTGACGACTCAGTTAATATTGCTTAATCAAAGCGCAAGAATCTTTTACCAGTTGCCAAGCAGAAAATTTCGAGCTTCCATAGGGATTGCTGGGAATCCCCTCTCGCCTACCCCAACAGGGGTGGGAATTTCAATCTGAAACGCCCGAAGTCAAGACTAAGTCGATGGCCCGTAGCACTGATCAGGGGATTGGGCGGATACTCTCAATCGGAGCATAAGCTCTTAAATAAGGGTCTGTCATGCATGCTAAATTGCAATATAGTTTGTGATCTAAACGGATTTTGTTCGGATTTTTAAAGAGATAAGTTAGGCCAGCCCGGGTGATTGCCGGGCCCAATGCTGGAGGGTAGATACAGTTGAAGCCTTGTGGTTATTGAAAGGAAATGAGGTTCTCCTGCCGAGCGGTGGACTCGGCGCTAGTGACCCCCGTGCTTGCCGACCGGACTTGCTTGCCTCTTCGGAGTGTCGCCGGCCACATTGTGCGGTCACAAATGAGGCCTCCTCCTCTCTTCAGTCAGGCCCAGTGGCTATTGCGATTGTTTATTGAGAACGCTAACAGGTCAAGCACAGGGAAAAGAGATTGTTTTTATCGTTTCATGAAGTTCTATGATTAAATATATAGCCATGTCTGCCCGCCCCGCAACAGCATAATAGGCAACATGTGTTCGACAATACAGGGCGAAAATGAGTAGTAATGTACAATGAGGTTCTCGTTGCTATTCATTGCCGGCATTCAAACCAGGCTGACTCCCCAGAAAAAGAGTATATGCAAACCTGATGTGAAGGACATCACTGCAGACCACCGTAACTGTGCACCTGAAAGTTGAATGATTAGCATCGGCTCCTCCATCAGGCAACAACACAACGGAGAGCACTCACCATTTACAGGTTCTGACCAAGAGTCGCGACGACGCTGCCGACAGTAGTGCCAAGGGAGGGGAGGCCAAGGCCAGAGAGAAGAGAGGTGACGTCGGAAGACAGCTGAATGAGAAGGTAAGAGCCGTCCTGGCCGATGACGGTCAGGAGCTGCTCAACGGGAGTAGAGATGTCCTTGAGAAGGTCGCCAACGCTGCCGGCAGTCTTGACGATCTGTCCAACGGGAGTTCCAACGCTGGGGAGGTCAAGGTTGGTGAGGAGGGAGGCGACGGAGGGGCTGAGCTGGACGAGCAGGCGCTTAGAGTCGGAGCCGGTGACTTCGAGGACATCCTTGACCTTGGGAGCAAGGTCCTGAACGATCTTTCCATCGGCCGAGCGCTTAAGGTTCTCGCCAAGGGTGCCAACAATGGAGCCGACGGGGACACCAAGTTCGGGGAGCCCAAGACCGCTGAGAAGACCAGTGACCACAGGGTCGAGCTGGATCAGAAGAGCGCGACCGTCCTTATCGACAACAGTGAGAAGGCCGTCAACGACCTTGCCGACATCTTGGACAAGGTCGCCAACGGACGCAGCGGTCTTAATAATGGTACCCACGGAGGATCCAAGGCCAGGCAGACCCAGGCCGGACAGGAGGCTGGCAACCTCGGGGCTCAGTTGGACGAGGAGCTTCTTGGCGTCAGCGCCAGTAACAGTCAGGACCTGGTTGACACCGTTGCCAGCATCCTGGACAATGTGGCCGGTGGCGCCGGCACTGGCACTGGCACTGGGGGTGGAGATGACGTTGCTGGAGACGGAACCAATGTTCACAGTCTTGGTGACCTCAGAGACACCAGGAACACCACCGGTAGGGGCGGCGATGGCCGAGGTGGCCAGAGCAGCAAAGAGAGTGATAAAGGAGGCCTTCATTGTCCTTGGTGGTATCTAAGAAAGGAGAATGGAAGAGAAAGAATAGACTTTGGTATGTTCTTGTGGGATCTGGTAAAGAATGACAGTAGTGGGCTTTGGTAAGGAACGAATGATGCGCTGCTGATGAGAAGAAAGAGGCGTTCTCGAGACGAAGAAAGCCTGCTCTTATATCCCATCGTCGCACGAGTGATCATCACTATTTCCTATCCTTTTGAGACCCTTAGTAGCTGGGACGTATTGCAACTAGCTGGCGGGTCAACTCTCTGTGCTAAGTTGTAATAGCACTGGTAAGGATAGCAAGGGCGTATGCGTGATGGACGTAGCGTTGCTGGGTTGTGGAGACAGCTACTTACGAGCTTGGTCGATGTTCGATCGTCCCTTCAGGCCATGCAAACCGCATGGCGACGATCAGGCGTATACAGTAGGACTGTTTGATCATGTGGGCTCCACTGTTGCTTTGTGGGCCTGCAGCTAGGCAGTTAAGATTTTGCTATTGAAATCACCATGCTGTAGACTGACTTACTGTTGCCATTCCCCGATGCCCGTCGAATGAATATCACCGGCAAGGCAGTGAGCCACACGAGCCGTGAACGTTGTCTGCCCAATCGGCAGCCACCCTGATCCGCTGATTGGCGTTGAAGGAGCATAAAGCCACCGGGACATTTATCGCCACTGCCATGAGGATCTGCAGCCTCATCTTACTACTTCGTAGTAGTGTTCAATTACTGGTACCCATGCATTGCTGTTAGTCTTCCATATCCAGTAATAGTACACATACTATTGGTACTCGCTCTTACTAACGACGTTGAAATGTGAGCACGTCATGTCTGAGACCATGTCGGGTCCCTGTCGATCCAAAACCTCTCATGGAAGAGTGATAAAGGGGGCGTAGATTCAGGAATAAACCCTCGTATTGCTTTTTCTCTGCTTGAAGTTGCATTTCGCATAGGGTACGACTATTTGCAGTCTATCTTGCTTTAGGTAATAACGGCCATGCATATTTCCATGCATGCATGCATGCAGGCAAGTCGGTGGCCAGCCAAGCGCAAACGCAAATTCGACGCCGGGGAGATGCGATATTACCGCTAGTGAGACGCACATAAGTTCGACAATACTTCCATTTCCAGCCATTGAAATTTATCCGTTAATGACTCCTCAAAGTGTCTTTTGAGGGCCCCGCATACAACACATGGTCGGGATAGTATGCCTTACCTGGTAGTATGCTAACCGCGCTAGATCTGTGGTTTTTACCTCTCAGAAGCTGCAGTCGCAGCTCTTCCGGACATGATCACTGCAGTGGAAGTATTTTAAATACTGGCAATTGCATCTTGGGGATGCAGCTGGTACGGCGACTGCATATGCATCTGCACCACAGATCGTGAGGGTGATTGACTTTACTAGTGGCTCGATTCTATAGAAATTTGAGTTTGTCCTCCCGCTGTAATGTTGTCTGGAAACGCATTTCATTTGTGAATCTTGCCGATAAACGCGAGATGGAGACAAGCCGTGTGGGCTTCATACGTATCCTGCGGTGATGCAAGGCTGCATGGAGTCAGGGACACAGTGGCTGGTGACGACGCGAAAGCATTGCGCACTTCGTAGAATAAAACTGGATTTTGAACGCAGGGAGTGAACTTCGTCCGTTGAATACCGAACATGCAACAAGAACATTGGAGTTGAGGATCTTGGTAGCCAACCTCATCTTCGACATTCCAGTCAGGGGAATGAGGGGAAGTCAACCGAGCGCTCCTATGGAACGGTTCTTCCGGGAGATGATTCCATATAGTCCCTGGAAAGGCTGGTTAGCCAGCCCACCACGTGGAACTCGTTCCACAGATGGCAGCAGACTCCTAAACAAGAAGAATTTGCCACTCAGGTACACAGCGGGAATTCCAACTGTGTACCGTGATCAACAAGGTCTAAGGAGAAGTGACGGCCCATCTGGTGGAGGTAGGGCGATCGTTGTTTGGTTTCGCATGTCGCAACTTGCAAGGCCATGAGGAAGATACACAGGTATTACACTAGACGATACACCGGATACTTCCCCGTTGGTGGCAAGTTGGCGTAAGGAGAACGTCCCGGTGGGGCCCACTATTGTAAGCATACTGTATTGCCGGGGAATAAGTCCCAGCTTCCCCCTTTTGGTAGGTGGACGGTATGCCTTCAGTTCAACTGCGACGCAAATAGTTCTGGCCTTGATCCCTGGTACTCGCAGAACCTTAAGTTACTCAACCACCTCAGTTGTTCCCAATCCACTTTCACGAGCAAAAATGGCTCCTAGCTCTTCCGTCTTGTCCCGCGACCTTTGAGAATACTGTCATCGAAATAACGATCAACGTGATCGTCACCATGGAGTAACTGTTCTTGCTACTGACTGAGGGCCAGAAAAAGCCTGTTCCGACGTCTAATGGCCTATGGAGTATCTACATCTCCAGCAGTTTCAGGTTTTACGGGGATGCACAGACGATACATCACCATCCCCTTTGATTATGGAGCCTCGAATATCCTCATCTCAGTTGCACAGTGGTGTCCCCTGAGCTGAAGTGTGTAAGAGCATGTGCAAGGTGGAATCTTCCCGGGTAAACACGGATAGGTCATCATTATCATTAAGTGATTTACTTACAGGCTAAAGCGAAAACCTGCGCATGCGCGACTTTTCACTAGGAAGCTGGACTTGGTGGTAGCTCCCCTGTGAACCAGTCACTTGCGGTCGCCCCCAGCTCGAAGTCCAGTGTTCCTCCTTGGGCAAAGATGTCGTCCCATGTCAACCAGTTCTTCTTCCAGTCTTTTCCGTTCACGCGAAGACTTTGCACATAGATATTACCGCCTCCGTTTCCATCACCGCCACTCGAACTGACGTTCAGTTTCTTACCACCCCCGAGGTCAATGACAAGCGAGTCAAACCAAGGAGAGTGGATCAAAAAGGTCGACTGTCCTGTCACCGGATACAGTCCGATCATATTCCACAATATCCAAGTCTGCATAGCTCCGGCATCGCTGTTACCGGGGAGGCCAGACACGCTAGTACCATAATAGGATTTCGCAATATCACGCGATCGGAAAACAGACAAGTCCTGCCGGTCGATATAGTGATAAAGATAAGGGACGTTGAACATACTGGACCAAATGGGTTTTATTAGCCGATTTCCTCTGCAAGAGAAAGGCCCGCAAAAGCATGAAGCCAGGCGGTAAAGGACGACTTACGGTTCGTTTGTAGGATCGAAAATGATACCGCTGGAACCGCTGGCCCCTTCAGTGAACATGATGTTCAGCCGGTCGAGAACGGTTTGATTTCCGCCCATCTTTTCAATCATTGTCTTCATATCATGAATGCTCGCCCAAGAGTAGGCCCATGAGCTGGCTTCGTAGTAAGGGTCTCCCCAATAGCCGCTGTCATTCAGTGGGTCAGTCTCGATGAACCCAGACTCATTCCGAGGGACGACAAAGCCGGAGAATCCCAGCGATGTCTGGTTGGCATTCCAATGGTTTCTCCAATTTCTGGAACGGTTCAGGTACTTCTCCGCATCGTCAGTCTTCCCAAGCCCTGATGCTACCTGATACAATCCAAAGTCATTGCATGAATATTCCACTGCCCGTGTGACAGCACGGCTAAATCTGGGCGTGATATAGCCCAAGCTGAGCCAGTCTGGCAATGCACCTCTTCCTTCTTTTGTGGAGGAATCAGGAGCCTGAGGGTCGACTGGATCGTTGGGAGGAGTCACTTCTGCGTCTTTGACCATGGCCTTATAGCCATCTTCCCAATTTACCGCACCGCGCACGCCCTTGACATAGGCATCAGCCAGAATATTGTCCGCATTCGAGCCACCCTGTGTACGACCGTTGTAATTAGAGGACCGGGCATCGGGCATGTAGCCCTCGAATCGCCAGATGTCAATAAGCGACCGGATCTGTTCTTCATATGCGGCGGGTTGCAACACCTGCATGAGAGCAGTAGAGCAGCGAAAAAGATCCTGCGAACCGAATAAGCGATACAGTGTCATTATATTTGTTATCCAATCACTTACCCAGTAGGTGAATATGTCCTCATAGTAAGGTTCCTGGGATGTCCATTGGGGGTTCTCTCCTGTTTGGTTGGTGGGGATCAGGTGCATGAAGTAGAGAGACGTATATAGTAGCGTGAGAGTTGTTTCGTTCGTGTTGGTTGTGGTGACTTTCGACAAGACTTTCGTCTCCCACTCGGACTGAGCATCGTCCACGACCGACTGAAATTCCTTGTCTTCCGGTATTTCATCTTCAACATTCTGACAGGCCTTTTCCGTGGAGATCCACGAGATTCCCACGCGAGACGTAACTACAGCATCTTTGAAGGTAAAGAGACCCCCAACTCGTGTTGAACCTGAAGAAGACGACGCAAAGCCGCTATGTTGCTCAACGCTTCCACCCGCATCAGTTCCAACATAGGTTTTGTTGCTGACGGGCGCGGCATCGAAATGGCCACCTGGGTAAAGTCAGCTAAACCTGCTGTGATATGGCGTATACGTTGACAAGGGGCTTACAGAAGTAGATGGACCAATCGGGGGAACGGTTCCAGCCGTTGTCGTACACGCCGTGGCCTTCATAATGCCCGTCCGGAAAGATGGTGATGTTACCACCTTTGTATCCCTGGCTAAGTCCCATTCCCCGGTACGACGGTAGGACATGCGAAACATCAACCAAGACGTTACCATCCGAGCCGTTCGGAAAAGTGTACTGATAGATTCCTGCATGGGCAGATGCGCTCAGCTCCACGACCGTTCCTTCAGCGGTCTGCGCCTTATAGTAGCCCACTGATGCTTCATCTGCGCCTGACCGGCCGATAGTTATGTTGGACAGCGGATTGCTGATATTTCCAATTAAAGGGAGTTGGGAGACAGTCCCATACTTAGGTGCTCCTCCCGTGCCCTGCTCATGCATCATGCTGAACCCCGAAAAATTGCCATTGGGCAAATATCCCGAATAAGAGTCTGTCCCGGAGACATATAAATCGGGTCCTAGCTTCACCACCCCAAACGGACGAGCAACCCCAGGGAAGTCATTGCCACCACTCTGTGTTCCCAAGCTTGCTCATGGTTAGGCTTGCGACATTTTACCATTCAGCAGGTGTGCTGAATCATGACCGATTCTCGAGATAGCACTTACAATAAATCCACATGGGAAGTCAAGTTTGCAGCGCGGGCAGCTGGCTCAAGTAGACTCAAGATCAGCATGGTGTACCAACTCGCCATGGCTAATCTAGCACAGCGGAAAGCAGCTGAGAAACGAATCGTCGAACCACCCATATCGAAAGGATATACAAAATATATATCCCAAGAACCAGTACTAGGTACGGCAAGTGGCGGCTCTCAATGGGAACTCTCCTGTGGTTACCAGTGCTATCAATTTAGTTCAGTTCAAAAACGAGTGTGTGAGATCCCAGGTCCAGCGGGGATCCAGATTGGTTTGTCGACAACAGTGACTGGACGGTTGAAGGGATGGGTCACCTCTAGTGGTGAGTCTTTAGCCCACTGGGCGCATAGGGATCCAGCACATGCCATGATCACCGGTGGTGAGTATTGACCGCTAGCCGCCAACGGGCCAGGAAGCAAGGATGGGATAGCCCCAGTTATGTACATCCATGGTCTGCAGCTTGATTGGTATCTATCTAACGAGCCCTGTCACACGGGGACCGGCACTCTCGAGTCCACATTATCAGGTCCGCCTGCGGTTACAGTGGCTATACTAGTTACACAGGTGGACACATTCCAATTATTGTTGGTATGTCTCCTTCAGAGGACTGGGCCAAGGCACGGGGCAAGGGAGGGGAAAAAAAGGACCACATTCAGTAAGTGCAGTGAAGAATAAGAAAGTGTGCTGCATAATCGAGTTTAGTGTATGAGATCGGAATAAGATATAGGAGCGCAAGATTCAGCCGATGGACCTGTCCGGATGATGGATACATCACGGTGAGTGACAGCCAGTCATGAGCCCCAAAAGAGCACATGCCCCAAAGGTCATTCTTCACTAGGGCATCACCCATCCCCGTCGTGCCGATCAAGCGGACCCGGAGCATTTCTCGTTCATAATCAGATAAGTTAGCACTTGTGTAAAGAGTTTGGGAGACACTGAATCGTGGTTGCAAGGCAGACCTGCAAATTGTGCCTGGGCGCTTGATTTGTTGTTTGCTCCCTGGGCCCAATTATCGGGCAGATCATTTCAGCCAATGATTTCTCCACATGCCTCGGCGTTCAGGGGTCCATCTTTTGAGTGATTTCATTGGCTGCTGTTAGTAGCGGGTCATCTGGTGCCTTAATCTTATGTAATCTTAGCTTTCGCGCAGCACGGTCAGGTGATTTTGCTTCTTTCTACATGTGGTCTTATGAACAGGCTGTGTAACGGCCCGGAAAACCTCACATTCACCTAAAGCTTATAAGTGATGCGCGTTCTGAGGTTAGCAGCTCAAAATTCTAGTCTTTTACCGGATAGCCAAGTGGTTTAGGTCTGGAGTATTCACTCTGGAAGCGCACCAGACTGAATCCTGACAACGGCCTGACTGGATGAGGAAGTAGGTTGCAAGTGGTTTGCTTAAGTTGTCTAATTGGATTAAGACTGTTAATGGATCTTTAGGATCTAGTATATGCGAGTAAAATGGTGAACAAAATATACATAGTCTGTATACAGTCCACCACAACTTATTAGTCCAAGAAACAATACTTTTTGAATAGTCTACATATTGTTAGAAATGAGGTCTAACAGAGATGCTTAGTGTATATATACCGCAGTTCGGCAGTACTTCGCGAGTAAAGCGAATAATTGAGGGTCTTTTTACCTACGTGGGAGCATGAACCGAACACATATGAGCCGTTGTCCTCTCCAAGTCCAACAATCCATGTCTTATCTTATTCATTACCTAGATAATAACATAGGGCCATGAATCTAAATACAGTGAATTAGAGAAAAACTTACTAGATATATCTGCTATTAGACATGGCAAGGCTTTCCTGAAGGACTCGGGATTTCTAGGCTTGGCTCAGCCATAAGCTGAATCTGAATCTGCTGATTAAGACCTATGAGCTTAGTTAAATGTATATTTTAACCTTGCTTATGAAACTTTAAGTTTTGTATATGCTACATATGCCTTTCATATCAGAATGATTGTATTTGAAAGATAAAGATAACTAATTATAAGTTTGAGCAGATAGACAGATACTAAAATCTATCTATATCTATTTGAACTATTATGCATTCAGTCGATATATAGAAGAATGTACATCTACTTATTTTCTTAGATAGAATATAGTAAACTATCATAGTATAACACTATAACTATACTAATCTAAAAACAGACTACTGTTAGATATAAGATAAAACCATAAAAAAAGGCATAGTTAGTCTATATACAGTTAGAGTCCATAAGAATATATAAACTTTTGCTAAACTATACTAGAAATCTATTCTATACAAAGTCCCCATATGTAAATGAAATCGCATATGCAATGTAGTACCCCAGTGGGCTGGGGGTCACGGCCCCACATCAAATGTTGGTAGCATTTAGCAGAAACAAAGCGGGTTGGTGGGAAGGCCAAAGGAGGCGGACAGAGAAATGGGTAAAAAGTCATCCCTGATGATTATCTGCAAATGAATAAAAGGTGGTCCTCATCCGCATGAACCATCCAACATCCTGACAGAAGGCATAGCCTTTTCGATATAGAATTGGGATTGTTCTTCCATGTCATTCAACGCCCACGAATATGCAGCACCATTCTCATATCAAGCCTTGACATCATCGTTCATTTCCGCTGATCGAATAATGCGGCAGGTTGTCTGAACCTCTGGAGAAAGGCTTTTTAATGCCGATGCAAGCTCATCGGCAGCCTGGACCAAAGAATCATCAGAAAGAGGCTCCAGCGCATCCAGAATGAATAAAACGCGGCTGGTCTCATCAGTCAGGGCAGTCCGTGGGCCCTGCCGCCAATTCCAGCGGCGACAAGTGATACCAGTGTTGTCACACCAAATAGGTTCCCCAGGCGCAGCGAGCTCCGATTTGGGTTCCCCACCAGAAAAGGTTTCGAATGGCTCCTGGCCAGTAGCACGGATCAGGAACGGTGATCCATCGTATTTATCGAGGTCTTCGCCACCCAGGGGAATTTGGTGTTTGACTGAAATGGCGTTGTAGATGTCTGTCAATCTATTGACCCGCGGCAAGCCACCATCTGCACGACGTGTCAAGGATTCGAGGCTGTTGCGTGTTTTTTGAGGTTTGGCCCCAAATGCTTTATATGCATCTCTCCATGCCGCAATATGCGGAAAGTCAGTGATGGAGGAGTGTTTCGATAGTAGTTCTTGCACACAAGTTTCGGCTTCTCGTAGAAGAACCTCGCTGGAAGCATCGCTAGCACCCGGAGGAATATTCTCAACAACCATCAAAAGAGCGCGATAGTCCGGCCGGAGTTTGAAGATTTCCGGCGCTATCCGCGCGGCTTGAAGCAGCTCATGAGGGGATGTCGTAACTCCCATTATATAGTATGAAGGCGCTGGATTGTCTGAACAGAGAAGAAGGTATTTATGCAGAACAATGAAATGTACTCATAGAATCAGAAATTATTTCTAGATGAGTATTGCAAATTAAACCTCAGAGTTCAGACTATTTTCAAGGATATCGTGCCTTTTATACTCGTAGGTTGACATAAATTGCCTCTTCGGCGGGCCGATTGCTGGAAGTACTATATTAGGCAGTCTTTGTAGCAAATTATCTTGGTAGGATCCGTTATAATTGGTTGTTACATTGCCCCACCCCAAACAACTTCCTATTTGAGGTTAGCGTATCCATTTGTATGAACCCTTCGCTCGTGCAAAAGATTTTGTCATTCGAGATAAAATGTTATGTTTCTACTATGCAAGCCTTGGGGATGAGTAATTAAAGTGAAAAATTATAGTCTAACTTAGCTATTAGACCGGTGGCGAAATATAGTTGATGATCTCCCGACTTATAGTATAGAGCCTGACTTTGATATGATCCCGAGGGGTTACAACATCGCTAGCTGACCCGATCCCGATCTATTACATTATCTTATTATAAGAATTGTATTCCTGATCATCTAGTATAAATTGGCTTACGAAAAAGACACAAGAATACAGAACCGCATTCTGAAGTGACATATGTACTGCGAGAGATTGAGAGAGTTTTTGGCCAATATCTTGTAAGATATAATAGTACTCGAAGAAGATTAGGAAGACGGTGATGCTTTCTCACCACTAAACAACCAACAAGATCATGGCTTCTTCTACTTACGGGGCCTACGTAGAATGCTTCTTGATCCCGGTAAAACCCAGAGCCTTACTCGGGATATCGGAAATACTTCACGGATATAGCTTCGGCTTCTATGGGTTGAGACAGTAATGTCTAGATAAGCGTACACCTTGACAGCCTTATGATAAAGACGATGTATCATTCGAAGTTTCTTCCTACCACAATACACAAAGCTCAGCTGTTTGGCTTTGATGAGTGCTAATAGTTCTGGTGTTAAGCTTACGCGCAATAATATTGACGAGGTTCTGTTCTTTCGGTCTGATGATGGGCTATTATGTGTGTGTTGATGGTGTTCAAAAAAACTTATCCGCCTTTTGGGGACCTCTATTAAGGATCGTGTATTTGGCTATGACGACAGCTCAACTACTACAGTTGTTCTTTATTTTCTTCTCTAGAGAATCAGTCAAGGAATAATCAAAACAGATGATACTTCGTATTTCAGCACTGCCTATAACAAGGACTGGAAGTCGGATCTTAGAACTCCACTAAATATGTGTTTGTCTAATGGTCGAAACTGAAGGAGTACTGCCCAGAATTTTTCCGAAGGATAAGCTCAATTTTCATGAGAGGATTTAGTCGTCAATTGATTATCTTTCAGGAACGGCTGTATCCCTTTCCATGAGGTCTGCTTTGAATACGTCTCTTTCTTCTCTGATTTTTCTGCCTTCTTGTACTCCTAAGACAACCTCCTTGAACATTTCGATAGATACAATCGAATCCTCCCGCGCTGTTCCTCGATACCACAAGAGAAGTGATGCATCTTAGCGCAATAGAAGCCCCCAGGACCAGTGCTTATAGCACAGTTGCTTTTGTTACGGCCGGGCAAGCGGACGAGATAAAGTCATTTCCAGCATAACATGTAGCAGCCCGTTGTCCAGGAAAAATAGCTAACCGGCAAATCGCAGTTCCGTCGGCATGTTCCCGAGAAAGAAGCAAGACCAAGGCAGGCGACTTCTCTCTTATAAGAGAGAATTTTATAATGTGTGTGGACAGGTGAAAAAGCGTCAGCAAACTGTAGCGTGAGATTGGCCTAGATCCGTCAGGTGCGCTCAAGCCAGTGTGTCCCGATGAGGGTCATGCTCGGCAGCTTCATGCCCATTGCTGAATGGGGAGCACGTTAAACGTTCTCTGGGCTTCTGGACGTATTATTGTACTGTGATATAGAGCACTACGGACTTTGAATACACAAAGCCGAAGCTTGACTTGCTATCTGACATTTGAAGAAACGCCACTCGACGCGCTTGTGCTTAGCACGACGAGTTTGGGTCTTAAACTAGACTGACAAGTGAGCGCCTCCTTGCAGAAAAGAGGCGGTCGCGCGTATGATTCGCCTCTTGCAGGCAGTTTGTACGTTCAAGAAGACCACCATTCGTCCACTCACAGAGGGTATTGAGCACTGATGCACACATCAAGTTATAGCAGCTAGCTGCAGTTGCACTAGTAACTGCCCTTTAATTTACCTATCTGGGGCACTATGCCGGAAAAACTGCAGCGGTGAGTCCCAAGGTACATGCGCTAGTAACGCCAGACTCAGCCCATCAATCCCGACTCCCTCTCACTTCATCTACGCGGCTGGTCACTACAAGATTTCCACGCTTTATCGGGTTTCAAACCAATGAAGAAGCAGCGATAAGATGCTCGATGCTTTGACTCTAGGGATCTGCGTCAGTCGTTCGGGATATTTCAGCTCCATTCCATCGTCTTTCGTCCCGTTCACCAACATGGATACATCCTTGTGCATGCTGCAACATCGTCATCATGGATCAGATTAAGTCCGCACGTCATACAACAGATTTTTGCCATCAGTCATGGCATGATAATCAGAGACTACTGCTACTCCAATAAGCAGAGCTACTGCTGGATCTTCCAGTCGCAGTCGAGTCGGTCTCTAGCGTAGTGCAGCAACGCTCCTCAGTGGACGGAAAAACCCGCCTAGCATCTCCGCACAATTTCTCCGGATGTATCCACCGTGGGCCACCAACTCACTCCATTCCCCCGGGATTGCTGGATCCAGCTTAATGTGCGGGGAGAGATGGGGTTTGTCTCTGCGGGTGTGCGGGTATCATGGTCGCTGATGTTTGGGGTTGTTCCCTCGCCAGGGCCTATCGGGTTTCTGCTCGGCCCAGCTGGTTTCTCTCTAGCATGCCCTCCTGCTTTCGGGATCTGCCCCTACACAGTTTAGTAAGATGGAGACGACTGTGATAAATATTCGAATGACCTCCGGGCAGTGAGACTCTCGGCTTCTCCTTTGATTCTCTTTCTTCCCCTGGGAATGCCCTGTGCTGCTAGGATCAATTGTCAATTGCCTACCAGTCTCTGGACAATTCTTCCACAATGAGTCTCCTCAAGAACTATCGTGTTTACCTCCTCACAGCAGTGGCCTACTCGGGGTCACTTCTTTTCGGTATGTATGCACTCGGGAATCGGAATACGCTCTTTGAACTAACGCCTGATGACTATTAGGCTATGATACGGGTGTTATGGGAAGTGTTCTTTCCCTGACCAGCTTCAAGGAAGATTTTGGGATACCTACTGGCTCTTCTGGTTTTGCGTCCTCCAAGAGCTCCGAAATCTCATCCAATGTCGTATCCTTGCTGACTGCGGGCTGCTTCTTCGGTGCCATCTTCGCTGCCCCCCTTAACGAGCGCATTGGCCGACGCTATGCACTGATGATCTTCACCGTCATATTTCTCATTGGAGCAGCTGTTCAAGTTGCATCGAAGCATCACATTGGACAGATCTATGGTGGCCGTGTCATAGCGGGCTTGGGAATTGGTGGAATGTCCAGTATCACGCCTGTGTTCGTGAGCGAGAACTGCCCCCCAAGCATTCGAGGCCGAGTTGCTGGGATGTTCCAGGAGTTCCTGGTCATTGGAAGCACCTTTGCCTATTGGCTGGACTATGGTGTCTCCCTGCACATTCCGTCAAGCACGAAGCAATGGCGTGTCCCAGTCGCTGTCCAGCTTATTCCTGGCGGTCTTATGCTACTCGGCCTTTTCTTCCTCAAAGAGTCTCCTCGTTGGCTGGCTGGCAAAGGACGCCATGAAGAAGCTCTTCAGTCACTCGCATACATCAGGAACGAGTCCCCTGATAGCGAGGAGATTCAGAAAGAGTTTGCTGAGATCCGAGCAGCCATCGATGAAGAGGTAGCAGCCACCGAAGGGCTGACTTACAAAGAGTTTATCCAGCCGAGTAACCTCAAACGCTTCGGTTTCGCCTTCACTCTCATGCTTTCACAACAATTCACGGGTACCAATTCGATCGGTTACTACGCTCCTGAGATCTTCCAAACTATCGGGCTTAGCGCGACTAACTCGTCTCTTTTTGCTACTGGCGTCTACGGAACTGTGAAGGTTGTCGCGACGGCTATCTTCCTATTTGTTGGTATCGACCGTTGGGGCCGTAAGCTCAGTCTGGTTGGCGGATCCATTTGGATGGCCAGCATGATGTTCATCATTGGCGCTGTATTGGCTACGCACCCGCCCGACACAAGCGCCAGTGGCGTCTCCCAGGCTTCTATCGCCATGGTGGTCATGATCTATCTCTACGTGATCGGCTATTCGGCTTCCTGGGGCCCTACCCCCTGGGTGTATGTGAGCGAGGTAAGAATACCGTTTCTGGAATCCACTTTGACACAAACCCTCTAACAGGCCTGACAGATCTTCCCAACCCGGCTACGTTCATACGGTGTCGGTCTGGCAGCCACATCCCAGTGGCTCTGGAGTTTCGTCGTCACTGAAATCACCCCCAAAGCCGTCCACAACATCGGCTGGCGCACATTCCTCATGTTTGGTATCTTCTGCGTTGCCATGTGTGTCTTCGTCATTGTCTTCGCCAAGGAGACCAAGGGCCGCAGTCTTGAGGATATGGACATCCTCTTCGGTGCTGTCAATGAGGCCGACCGCCGTGCTGCGGTGGAACATACCATGCACAAGCGCGGCTCCTCTCACATCGAGGACGTGGATGAGGAAACCGAGCGTGTTCGCCATGAGCAGGACAAGGTCTAGCTGGGCTAGATCGGTCCTTGTATGAATGAAATCAACCACCCGTCTTTGGGTATGACAGAATGGTTTAAAGTTGGGCAAATTAGCATAGATCTAGATGTTAGATGGCGGGGGCTTATATATCGGTCTTCATAGATGCGGGTTTTGTTTATTAGGATCTCGAGATGATTCTATCACCGGCTAAACTGATGTTGTGTGATACTATGCATGTTTTACTTTCCTCTTCCTTCGTCCACTAAATTGATTGTTCTGATAGACTTGTGTTTGTAATCCAGTTGGGTATGATCTGGAAAATTTCACTTCCAGCTAC